AGCCCCGCGTCGAGGTCTGTGCTGACAGCTCGGAGCCTGGGGCCTATTTCGGATTCTGTGTCTCCCTCTCTCTGACCCTCCCCCGTTCATGCTCTGTCTCAAAAATAAATAAACGTTAAAAAAATTTTTTTTAAATCCAGGCATCAAATTTTATTTTAGCTTTAGTTTTAGAAAGTCTTTTTTTCACTCTATGATTGAATCTCCTTGAGAGTTTACTTCTCTTTTGTTAAACTTATCCTTACCTTCTTCATTGACTCTGCCTTAATTGGAGCCACCTTTTCTAATTTTTGGGTCTGGTCTTTTCCCTCAATGTATAGAGTACTCATAAAGGATATCATAGGTTGTCTGCCCTCAGGCTAGGTCAGTCCCCTGGGGCCTCTGAACCAAGAAAAATGAGCCTTAGGGGAAGGCTGGTCAGTATTTGTTTACCAGCTGAGAAGTGAAGGGCTTGGCTAATAGAAGGGCCCTTGCTACTGAAGGGCAGGGGAGAGTCCCATGCTCCCTCTGGCTCCTCCGAGAAGGGGATGAACAACTCTTTCTCAACTGCGCAGACTGGGAAGAGTGTTGCAAACCCCTCCAGGTTTTGTATGGTCATCAGGCTTGGACAGGTTGTCTCGGAACCACAAGCGACAAGGGGACAGGTGTAGTGCTTCTGGAAGGTATATTCCCACATCTGCCCGTTGGGGCCCATCAGAGAACCTTGAATCGGAGATCCTTGCTCTGGGTTTCTCCCATGGCTCGGTGTCTACTGCTCTACCATGGCACAAAGATTCGAGAAGAATAAAGATCTGTACCTACTCTGAATTTCTGACGAATTTGTGACTTCACCCAAGGCCCGGGCCCCGCTCAGTAACGTGCAGTTTGGTTGTTGTGAGGTATTGGAGTGCATCGGAAGCTCCTTAAAGATAAGGCTTCTCAGCCTCACTCTCTCTACTTCCCCGGAAGTTGTGTGGGGGCATTCTCTCCTCTGCTCCCTGCCCTGAATAATAATTACCAGCAAGCTTTGCGTGGGGAGGCAGCTTGACCACACAGTGTTTTATGGATCTCTTGTTTGCACCTGTCCTACTTTCCATTTCCATTTTTTATGAAAGCAGCAATATCCCAATGGTGTCTCTTTAAGATGGGTAATTTTCTACCTATAAGCTGGTGATTGCCCTGCTTGGGCCAGCACTCGAACATCAAGCTGCTGTTGATGTCTTTCTTGGAGTTCTAGGGATTTCGCTGTGGCCAGCCAGTAATTTCACATGGATTCACTCTTGGTTTAGTGTGTGTAGTGTGGGGCTTCCTGACTGTCCTTACAACACTCACTCCAAAGCATGGTCCACACACCACTGGGATCCTGTGACAAATACGAAACAACGAGCAGCCACTTCAGTCGATATTTATTGAACACCTACTTAGTCTGCAGTATTTTGTTACAGCAGCCCAAATAGACTCATACACCTACCCCAGCTGACCTGCCCCACTGACCCACAAATTGAGAGTGAAAAATAAATGGTTTTCATTGCATGCCACTGAGATTAATGTAACCATA